GGGGGGGGGGGGTAGGTAAGGAGGGTGTTGTGACTTACCCTACCAGTTATATAAATAAATAAGTGAACAAAAGGATTTAGTGCAACTAGTTGTCTGTATGTGATCATTACTTGAACTGCTACCTGGTCCTTAGAGGTTGTCTCATGTCTCACCTGGATGAGTGGGAGTCTTGGCACATAGTGCTGACCCAGGCTAATCCCACTGTAGCACCATCAAAGTCAGTGTGCCTGAAAGAGAAACATCATTTACCAGAATCTTATCAATAGACTGATATGTCTAAACATGACTTGTATCACTGTATCAAATAGCAGAAGCCAGCACACCGGGGTCACATCCCTGGTGTGCTGACTTTAGTTTTACTGAGATGTCATATCAGGAAATCCACATTACAGAGCCATAGAGGTCCTTGGTGGGCACATGGACAGGATACTGTCACAGAGAGAATCCTATTGGATCCACACTCTGCAGACTATGAAGTCCAGCGGACTAAACACCAATTTGTGTCAGTTGATCATTGTTATTTTTTTGGTTATTCTTTCATTATTTTTGTTATGTAATGTCAAACACTTTGGAGATTTATTTATAAAAAAATTGTATGGCTGTCCATCCAATGAAACTGCATGAACATTTGTTCTGTAAGAATCAACCAGCTGTTGTGAATGGGACAAATTTGATTGGTCTTAGGTTATATTTTCTTCTCTGGTCGGATGTTCATCAAATATGAAGGCCAGAAGTAATAATAGGTTCATTCATACAGAACAAAAAGAATGTAGAAAATACCACATTATGGCCACTAGATGGAGCCGAGGATTATAGGAAAGAGATTCATCTTAGTAACAGGAGATACAATGTAACAATTTTAAAGACCTCTGAGGGGAATTAGCAAATAAATGTAACCATTGCTACTACAGTGATCTGTATATTAGAGATTGTTACATTGATTTGATAATTCTGGTCAGTATGTCTCTACTCTTCATCCTTATTTCTAAACTCTTGGAGCTCTCAATTCATAAGGTAGGACAAATCTCCTCTCCCTTCTTATGCAGTATCAGCATTTGGAATTGTTTGGCTAGTCAGGGGCATGGAGCAAAGATTATTAGGGGTGATCCCATGTGGACCTCATTGGATGTCAGTTTGGATGTCATTAGGGGCAGTCCCATGTGGACCTAATTGGATGTCAGTTTGGGGTGGTACATACTGTATACATACAGGGGAGGACTGACAACACATGGGTTCCCGGGCAATATGTTATTATGGGACCCCACTGTGCTCCGCCCATAAACAAGCTCCACCCACAAGCCCCACCCACACATCCCGCCTGCATATACATTACATTCTTTTACATTCTTGGAATTCAAACACCTCAGGGGAATAGGGTTCTAGTCCTTCCAGTACACTTCCCTTTTCTGTGTTCAATATTAAAAGTAATCACATTGTGATCACTATTACCGGTGATACCAGTGAGGGTGAAAAGCATGACAAAGGGAAGAATTTAGTCATCCCATATGTAGCTGGGGTGTCTGAGAAACTCAGAAGCGTATTTAATAAAACATTGCATCCCTGTCTGCTATAAACCCAGCAATACACTGCGGCAACAACTGGTTCACCCAAAAGACCCAATGCCAAATCACAAGATGAACAACATTGTGTATGCAGTCCAGTGCAGCGAGGAGTGCTCAGAATTGTATGCCTGTGAAACAAAACAGCAGCTACACCTGCGTATGGCACAGCATAGAAGAGCCGACCCCTCTGGTCAGGATTCGGCAGTATACCTACATCTAAAGGAAAAAGGTCTCTCCTTTGAAGACAGTCAATCCTCCTAGACTCCAATTATGCAAATGAAATCAACACCTAACAGAGCAACATTCACCATATTTATTCCCAGGGAATTGTTGTACAAGTCATTCTGAGTTGAGAAAGCTGGTCGGATGTCCAGTGAAACGTCTTCAAGAAAAATACAGCAAGTCCAGTTGCCTTGACTTATTTTTTACAGATATATCATGACCTGGATGAATGAGAACCTTCACAGACATTACATTCTTGTGTTACAGACATGTTTTCTCCACACTATTTTCAAAATAGCAGGTCTATGCACTAAAAGGTGAATTGCAGGGGAACTGGTAGGAGAATTTCAAAATCTAGACTAATATGGGCGAACTGGAAAGTGAGCAAATGGCAGAATTTTTCTGGTTTGCCCGTTTAGACCGAGATTCCTCAATTCTGCTAATTATCTGCAGGAGATTTAGTAGGAGAATTGACAGGGAACTGAATAATCTAAGACCAGAACGGGTGTTTCGGCGCATATAGCAAGTGCAGTATGAAAAACAACCCTAACCCCCCACCCCTCGCTCTGGTGCAGGTGGTAAGGCTCTGAATGGTCTGTTTGCCCAAATGGTCAGTCCACCCATGACCACAACCCATGCACATCAGACCTCAGACCAGAACCAATATACAGCAGACCTCAGACCAGCACCAATGCACGTCAGATCTCAGACCAGAACCAATGCATAGCAGAACTCAGACCAGAACCAATGCACGGCAGACCTCAGACCAGAACCAATGCACCGCAGACCTCAGACCAGAACCAATGCACCGCAGACCTCAGACCAGAACCAATGCATAGCAGAACTCAGACCAGAACCAATGCACCGCAGACCTCAGACCAGAACCAATGCACGGCAGACCTTAGACAAGAACCAATACACGGCAGACATCAGATCAGAACCAATGTACAGCCAGGGGCTGATCCAGAGTTAATCTCAGGAGGGGCAATGCCAGATATAAGGTGTTGCTTACAGAACTATTAAGAGGCTGTAAACAGGCACCATGGATGACAGGAAGGCTGCCGAGGTCCTCAGCAAGTGCAGGACCTCAGACAGCTGCTTCAGTTTAAAAATGTAAAGTGCTTATATCGGCCCTTAGTACCGAGGCATTTTCATGAGTACTACTACTTGTCAAAATGCCGAATATTGGCACAGATACCGACACTGGTTAATGTAATGTATTGCTGGGATTTGTAGTCCTGTATAGCTGGTGGTATTCTGCATTGCTGTATAATCATTATACAGCAATGTAGAATACCACCAGCTATACAGAACTACAAATCCCAGCAATACATTTTACAGCAAATCAGCAATGTTGAATACCACCACCAACTATAGAGAACTAGAAATCATAGCAATACATGTACAGCACTGCAGAAAAATACCATCAGCTATAGAGGACTACATATCCCAGCTATACATTATACAGGAATGCAGAATATGAAGCTATACTCAGGTGGCCAGTGTGGCCTCTTAGGTGGCCAGTGTGGCCTCTTAGGAGGCCAAAGGGGCTCTCAGTTGGTCAGTGGGGCTCTCGGCTGGCCAGTGGGGCTCTTAGGTTGTCAGCGAGGCCCTCAGGAAGTCAGTAGAGCTTTCAGGTGGTCAGTGGGGCTCTTAGGTAGTCAGTGAGGCCCTCAGGTGGTCAGTAGAGCTCTTAGGTGGTCAGTAGGGCTCTTAGGTAGTCAGTGAGGCCCTCCAGTGGTCAGTAGATCTCTTAGGTGGTCAGTGGGGCTTTTAGGTGGTCAGTGGGGCTCTTAGGTGGTCAGTGGGGCTCTCAGGTGGTCGGTGGGGCTCTTAGCTGGTCAGTGTCCCCCCCATCCACCACTGTGCACAACTGACCTCAGACCATCAGACTATATATGCATTGCCAGCAGTATATACACTTACCCCTCCCTTTTAGATTGTAATCCCTCAGGGGCAAGTTACCATCTTGTCTTGAATTGTATTGTGATTGTAATGTCTTACTTATATTGTAAAGCGCTGCGCAAACTGTTGGTGCTGCTAAATAAATACTGAATAATATTCAATAATAACTATTCCTCTATAACAGCAGACACGGCCCCTTTGCCTGTGTCTATGGTAAGCGTTGCTGGAGAGGCTCAGACACCCAACTAGTAGCTGCCATCCCAGGACACTCAGCCCGGACTGTGCTCAGCAACTTATCAAGTAACACTAGCACGCCGCCTAGACTGCCCCCCGCGCCCCCGAACCCCTGCACTTTGCTTGAATTAACATCCCTGGGAGAGTGCTGAGAGTGACTTTTTGCCCAACAAGCTCTGTATTGCAGATGATCCTTCTACCTGTCATTAGTCAGCTCAGCTGACATGTTCCTGGCTCAGAGCGGCTGGTGATGTGGCCCGGGGCATGTTGTATTGTATGG